TTTGACTCCGAGCGAGGGCGTTGCCAAAATGTCAATATACGAGTCGCCCACAAAAATAATAATAATATTAATAAGAAAAGAAAAAAAAACAAGACAAGGGCGCTCAGTCGGGGTCGGAGTTGGGTTTGGGCTTGGGCTTGGGTTCGGGGGTCGCAGCTTGGATTTGGAGTTGAAGCTGGGAGTCGGTTGCATGATAAATGACTCTCGCGCGTGCCGAGTACCATGGGCCGAGTACCTTGGAGAGTTGGCTGCTAGCTGAACTGTTGAGCTACCTGATCGCAGCGTTGTACCGCTGGCTACCTGTATTTTTTGATCGACCAGGTGCTATTTTGATATATGTGCGACGGGGCGCATCCATCAATTAGCCGCAACACTCAACCATCGCCAGTCCAATTGATTTTTGCGGCCCCCGAAATTGATTGCGAGTCATTTATTATGCTGAATGCCGATCCGGCTGGCGGGATCGGATCACTCTGAGCGAGTGCATCATTTGATGGATTAGCCCATTAGCGGCTAATGATATACATAAGGCATGCCCCACCCCTTCCCCTTCCCCTATTCCACCCCTTATCCCACCTTCCCCCATTAAGCTCTATGCCGCGCATGTGGCATGCATTTCCGCTTTTAATTATTGCAACGTTGCAATGTGGCAGCGCGTCGCGTCGCGTCGCAGCGCATCGCATCGCATTGGCCTGGAATGACATGCAACCAAATTGCTGGCAATAAATTTCACACATTTCAGCGCAGAACAAAACGAAAACAAAAAAAACGAGAACAACAAAAATTAAGAATGATTCGAAATACTTTAAGCGACGATCCTCAAAGAATCGCTTCAGAATCGCCAACTCGCGCAGCGCAGTTTGTCATGCGACAGCATCAAAAAATAAATGAATAAATACAAAATTGGGTAAGATATGAGACTGAGAGCGAGAAATACGAGACTGAGAGCAACTGCATCCAGTGGACGCAGAATGTTTCAGAAAAGCCCGAAATTTGAAAGGTGACTGAAAATGGGAACAGTTGAAAGCCTTTACAGGAAACAACTTAAATGCTGTAAGAGCGTGAAGGGAGAGGGAGAAAGAGAGACACGGAGAGAGGGAGAGAAAGAGAGAGATAGAGAGAGAGACAGAGCATGAGTGTAAACAGTGGCAGTTGCTTGAATGCAGTTGCAATTGGCGCAGCAACAAATTGCTGGAATAATTACGCACACATTGACAGCTACAGATTGATATGTTTGTCGGCAAGGACAACATGAAGGACCATTGGACCAACCGACTGACTGACTGACTGGTCTGGTCTGGTCTGGCCTGGTCTGGTCTGGGATACAAGTGACATGCCACGCGGCTACTTCAGTTGCCCATTGATGAACGTGAGGTGTCAAGCAAATTGTCTGCCCAGCAAAGCGACGCGCCCAGCGGCGTCCCTGGCAGCAAAGCAATGCAAAAGGGGGGCTTTATCGAGTGTCCAAATACAGCTATACAGTTGGCTTTTGCCAGTTCGATTTTTCGTTATCGATAATTGATAAAGAAGAACATATCGACTTAATCAATTCGATAAATCAGAGCAGTCAAATTGCTTCATAACTTGTGAATGGAAATTTAAAATTTTTTAATAATAATAATAATAATTTATATTAATAATTTGTTAACCATGGTAATTGGTATTAGGATAATATCTTAATCAAAACACCTATCGACTTAATTAAATCGATAAATCGAACAATGCCAATCGCTTGGTTTCAAGTGTTTTTTCCAACTTAAAAATTTTCTCAAGTTCTCGAATAGGTTTTAAAATACCGAAGAGTTGGTATACAAGAGTTGCCTGTTTCTGCAGCAGCTGGTCAAGATTTGGTTGTTTCACCAAGTGATCCCCTTGAGCGACGCCTCTGCCTGCGACTGGCATCTGCAGCGGAGCAGCATTGGAATTCGCTGTTTACGTGAATTACGCTCAAATTACAAGACGCCAATCGAGAAAAACAAGAAAAAAAAAGAAGAAAACTGTCGAGTTGCAGCGCCTGAAAATAGCTGCGCAACAATGGGAATGCATTGCAAATTAAAATTGCTAGCAAAACGCTTCGCGGTGTGCTCAAGGGGGGAGGGGTGCCCGATGCGACAGGGTGGACTGGGCGCGCACAGGGCGACACACGTGAGCTGAAGGGCTGTTGAGCTCGTTAGGCGATAACTTTATGCGGCATTAAATTTTATGCGGCCATAAAACAAACAAATTCGCCTCGTACACGCTCATTCACAACACACACACTCACACACACACGCGGCATTACGGCGACTGAACACGACATGAGACAACACACGGAATCAACAAAAAATAAACAACAAGAGCTACAAAAACAATTACATACAACAACAATAACAATAACAATGCCCCAATGGACTTGCGCCTGGAATGCATGGTTAAAAGTAACAGGCGCCCGAGCAGGGATCAGGGATCACTGGCCGTACCCCGGCTGCAGTAGCCCTACCGGTAGCCCTCATGGTATGTGTGCGTGTGTGTGTGTGCGGTATGCGTGGCGTATCGTTAAGTGGAACAAGAACATGTCGCTTTACGCCCCGATACAACTCAACTTGCGGCCTTGTCCGTATTGTACCCAACCATATATGGGCCGTACCCGAATGCCAGGTCGCTGAGCTGAGCTTGGACAGCAAGTGCTGAAATGGCATAAAAAGTATGGGCACAAGCAGATATCACACCTAAGTCTCAATGCCAAGCCAACTAACTTAGAGATATCTAAAACAAAGTAGGGTAGCTTAATGGACGCCCTCAAGGTGTGCACACCCTATGTTGTGTAAGGAATAGAATGTGAGCGTTGGGTGGTTGAGTCGGAGGGTACCGCTACGTCAAACTGGATGTTTTCTAATCACGTGTCAAATCTGTACATCATTTTGATGGTAACTTAAAACCAAAGTTCAAATTCGAGTACGGCCAGAGGGTAGACAATCGCAATCGGCATCGCAATCGCATTGGAACACATAGAGGGAGTGAGGCAGCAGGGTCTGCAGGCTCTGCAGGGGCTGTGCCTTGAGGCATTGAGCAAAGTCAGCGAGCCCGATGTAAACTGATTAACAAGCCCGATAAGCGGAATGGCTCAAACAATTGCCGTGCACTCGCATTTGCCACTTTTTCTGACGCAGCCTCAATGGCCACAATGGACCATTGTTAGACCTTTGTTCCGGTACCTCTCTCTCTCGCTCTCTCTCTCTCTCTCGCCCTCTCTTGTCGCTTTGTTCGGAGCGTACGGGAGGGGCGTTGCTGTTGTTATTGGCACAGCTGTTACAATAAATAGCATAATGCATCGAACAGCTTAACAATAGAGCAGAAATACTTAAGACATTGGCAAATATGTTCCATCGCAACTTGGCAACTATTGGAAAATGTGTGTCAAAATCGAAAGCTGAAGCTGTCGAAATTATCAGGTACACATGCTTGGCGCTCTTGTGGCTTAAAATATCCATTTCTTGACTTGAGTTCAATTGGAATTATCAGGCTGTGGAATAATTCAACTAGAAGTCTTTAACTTAGGCATACAGCTAACAGAGTTATCGTAGCTAGGCATCCATTACGGTCTGCAATTTGAAGTTTCGTTCTATTAAAATAAAATTCCCTTTAAAGCTCAATGTCCAGCTCGTGTGGTATGCCTGGAGCCCAGCTTGAGATATCTTAAGGACTTGGATGCCTACTCAAAACAGAGAGACAGAGAGAGAGAGAGAGGGGGTAATTAACTGTGACCCCACATAAGCACTCAACGGCAGACCCTCGTTTCGGACTCTGTATAAACAAAATTAAACAAGCTGATTGCACCTGCGGCTCACAACGGGAGCAGGGCTCGGGCAATTGAGCCAAGCATCTAAGAAATGATGTGGCAAGTTAATTTCCGAATGCCCCATAACAATAGATTAATAGCCATACAATTCACAATGTTGTCGACCTGTTGTGCTGTTGTGTTGTCGTGAGCGTGAACCGTGGCCTAATGCTACTGCAATATGGGCGTGGCAGCTATAGGCAAGTTGAGGGTCCCAGCCAGGTAAGAGCGGCGTCTACGTGCTGCCCCCTAGAGGGCTGGCCCATTAATGAGCGCGACAAACTAACGACATTTGTGGCTTCTCGAACGATGATTTATGCGGCTGTTCATTAAGTTCATTAAAAGTGAAAGGATGAACTGAAGATCGGACCGACGGACCGACGGACGGACGGACGGACGATCGAACTATTCCAACTTTACATGCGGCTGGCATGCGTCAGGTGGTTTTTTTTTCATGTCTCATGTTCCGACTGTTTATTTGTTTTGTGCCTTCTCCAAATGAGCCGTAACCAATAAATGTTTATGACCCTGCGGGCAGCGGAGGCGGGGCCGCAGAGTACCGTGACAACGCCCCTGGTTAAGGGAAAGAGAGAACAGGCGAATGTCCACAATAAAAATCATTTTGAACAACATTAAAATGACACATTGTTTTTGTTGCGGGCCACAAAACACCAACTAGCCATATTTACCAACTTCAGTGCCCGTTCCAATTCCGTTTCCATTTCCAATACCAACTCCAGAGATCATCATCTCGTGAATCAAGGCGCCAGTCGCTTATCAATGGATAACGGCGGGTCATCAGGGCGGACGACCCGCTGCGTTTGAAGACAAACAATGGAGGCAACAACAGCAACATTCACAATGAGCTCAAGAGTTGAGTTGACAAAAGGCCAACCTAATCTTGGGAACAGGTAAAATCTAATTGATAATGCTCCACGAGCGTATGTTCGGACTTAGCTATTGATATAGTCTGATACTGATCAAGATTCTTTATATATATCGGATAATAATAATCTCCTAGTGCAATCTACAACAATCTGCAAGCCGTTGATCAGATCTGTTGCCCATCAAGAATATATATCAGATACATCCTACTGCAATCTACAACTCACCCATTTATATATATACATATATATTTAATCTTCTCTCGATTCCAGTTAATACAAACGCTTATTCACATCATTTTTTATATATTTCTGCTTACATACACAATACAACAAAATTTTGATACACTTAATCGAATTTCAATATTTAACAGTGTCGACATATTACACGGTAATCACTCTGTAGAGAGAAGAACCTTGGGATTAATAAAGAATAAAATATACAGTAAAACCTTACCTCCATAATGTGACATTTTGCCTCTTGGCTAACCCTCATCAAGCGACCTAACCTAGCCTAGACCTAACCTACCCACGGCGGAGACTGGAAGCAAGAGTTTACAGGGTATATCAATTAAATAAGTCCGGCAAACTTACGTTATAGAAGAAGCATCACTTTTATCACAAATGTGGTTTTTGTGTTTTACACTTTTTCCAAAAATATTTCAGATGTGTTTCGTGCAAATATATTAAAAGCACTGAAGAATTTTCATTTTAGATTTCCCATGAAAATCTGGCTGAAGGGGAATAAATAAGCTCGGGCTACTGAGTTAGGCTAAAGTTAGCTTGGCGATTTTTGGGGCATAGCTATGGGTATTATTGAGACAAGAAAGTCATCTGGAGTTACTTAAAATCTATATTAACATCACTGAGAAGAACATTTAGACATTTAAAAGAAGCACATTTGTCTTTAAAGGAAGATATATTCTAAGAAAAACTATAGTTTGTCTAATAGAAGGTGTCCAACTGTGAGGCTTAAATAAAGGTAATAATACAGAGACTACGTCAAACTCGTAGCTGATGAACCTCAAGAAGAATGTATTCGAAAGTGAGATCAATTAACAGCCTAGGTTCAGCTATATGATCTGGGGATTCAATCCAGCCGAAAGAGAAACAACTGAGACCTGATCGTATACAGCTTGCAATACTTCCGACATACGTACATACATGAGAAAGAATTTGATGACAAGAGTCGACCTTAAGGCAAAGTTCGAATAGCTCATCAGTTTGTGGACCAGAGTTACCTAAGGACACAGCCACACTTCAGCCTGATCCTGTTGTATCATATCTTATCTTAGGACCAGGCGGATGCGTTTTTTTCGGACTGAACAGCTTGGCCCGCACAAACGACAAGTGCATAAATCATATGCTTGCTCATCGAAAACCCAACAAAAAAATGTCGCTGACAGTTTTTGTTTTTGTTGTTTTTTTCGTTTCATTTGTGACCTTATCGGATGCACTCGATCAAGCGACCAATTGCCAACTGGCGCAGGTAAATTAATTCAGCTGCTCTGACGTCACAGAAACCTACCTGATGGCATTTTAATTATGGCGACTGCGAATGATGATAAAGCGCGCAGCGTTTATCAGCGCAAACAACAAGCAACTCATGAACTCATGAGCTGTGCTGTGATACCACGTACAAATGCGATATACAGGATATCATTGGTTAAGAAAAAGCTATAGATCTCTGATCTGTGTAAACTCAGAGACTACAAGAGCGCGACATATTACTTTTGGTATACGACTTTTCCCAGTTGTATGTCTACTTTAAACATGGAAAGAATTTGAGCTTATTTAAAGCGGGAAATTAAATTTCAGCTATATGAAGCGTCTTAATTTATAAGCATACTTAAACTAAACTAAACTAAGACAACAAACTGTCAAGGACCCTAAAATATTTGGGCTTAAAAGAATATTGTTACCCTATACAGGGTATGTCCTAGCATATCCTTTTGTCAGCTAGATCAGTTTGAGCTGTGATTTTTTTTTTTTGCTTCGTTGTATTCATTTTTTGCAAATAGCTGCAAGGCGTGAAATTTGTACGTTGCGGTGGGTCTCTGGGACGGCAGGTGAATAAACTGCGCTGCAACTGTCCGCCCTTTCTTAAAAAACACTTTGTGCATGCTATAATTATGTTGGGCTCGCTATTTGTTTAACTCTGGCTTCCCCAGATCGCACAGTGGGTCCAAGCACAAGCAAGCCAAGTCATTTCTTTATTTGAGCTTTACTATGAGCTCTAGCGTATGTTCCAGCATATGGTGAGAGGTCATTGTGAAAGGTCATCTGATAAAGAAAATAATAAAAAAAAAACAGTAGCTGGTGTTGTTTTTTGTGCGCCTTGGTACCACTGTGCCTGAGGACTTGTGGGTACGTATCGTGCGGCCCGCACGCACATTTCACTTATTATTTATGAGGCGTGCGCTGTGGGCGTGGCACGCTTGTTGATCGGCGCTACATGAGCGTACCCCAACCGGCCCCTGCTGCAGCAGCTTGAACGGCACCGTGGACGATGCCGGACAATGCCGGACGGAACGGGACGTTTTCAATCAACGTTCAACCGGCCGCTCGGCCTGCCAGGCGAAGACAAGCGGGGACCACCCTTTTAATGAAGCCCTAATTACAGTGTTTATAACAAAAGGTGATTACCAAAGCAAACCAACAACACCAGAGACCAGACACCAAGCAACCAAGCCAAGCAACCAAACCAGGCAGCCAACCAGCCAACATCCACAGGCAGGCAGGCAGGCAGGCAGGCAGGAAGGCAGGCAACCAGGCCGGCCCCGGAACGCATCAACAGCTCTTTAGTAGACTGACGTCGCAACCGATAACCCGCCATGCCCGCCTTGCCCGACGTGCCCGCCGAGTCGCTGTCTCCCAAACATTGAACGTCAGCCGCCTTGGGGCAACCGCCTTGTTTATTTCAGATCGCAGCACGAAAGACGCAGAACACAAACTCAACTCAGGCTTTGTCAGCAGTCACCGGTATCTGAGGCTCTCAGTCTCCTGCAGACGCTGTGCAGTGACTCGCCCCCCAAATACCCTGTAAGTGTAAAGTGGGTGCGAAGAGGGACATGTTTCGATACATGCATGTGCCAACTGAAAGAGAATCGAAAAAGTTGCCAGATATCGATTATACGCTTACTATCGATAATATCTAAGCTATCGATAGTGGCTAATAATAAGAGATGCCAGGAACAACTTTGTCAGCAATAAATTTGAAAAATATACGTACCAACTCTCGAAATTATCCAGACTATCGATAGCGTCTAAAATATATATTGTATGATATTTTAACTTTTTAAGATAATCAAAGAAATTAATCGATTGCATTTAAGCTATCAATGCCGTCTAATCTGTGGATACTTGCTGAACCTTTAATAAAATACTAATCAAAATATCGAAAGTATGGCTTATACTTTAAATCCAGGGACTTCTATTTAAATTCACCATTCCGTGTTCTTTCGATTTGATTAAAATCCATTAATGATATTAATTAACTTACAGGGTATCCGCCATTCATGCACACCCAACTATCGCCTTATACCCACTGTATGCTTGTGTGTGCGTGTTGTCTCCGTCTCTGTCATCGTCACATTATTTATAACTTTTCATGTTTAAATCCGTAATTTTGGCCTCGTTTGCCCCACCCAACTCGCCACCCGTCGCCCCCGTCGCCACCGTCGCCACCGTCCGCTGGCTAGGTGCCTCAACCACCCAGGCTTCGTCAAGAGGCCTTCCCATGGCGCTCGTGACTTGTAAATATTGATTTTAATCGAAATTGCCCTAAATTGCTTTGTTTTTTCCATGTGTTTCGGGTACGCAATTTAAGACACTTTTGCTGTGAAGAGGCGCTCCATGCGATCACAACCAACTACGATCGTTCATCATATATGCATATATGTACTTATATAGATCAATCTTCTCTCTTTCTTTCTCTTCCTTCCCTCTCTATCGATCAGTTGCTAAGGTGCTAGAATATTTGTGCATACTTATTTAATTACAGCTCTACTGATCGTGGAACACCTCTTCCAGAAAACAACAATCAATACAGAAGCTATTCGATTTAATTGATCAAAAGGGTAAAAGAATAAGCATAAATATAATAGACTAGACTATCAAATAAGCGATCAGTGATCAGAGTGATAGCTTCTGATGCCCAAGTGCGAGTCTTAAAACTATAAGCTTTATAGAAAACGAATGAAGGCCATTTATTGTGAATGTGATGAGACATTCTAGATTCTGTCACTAAATCAGCTTAACGTAAGGGCAACCAGAGCGTGTGTGATCAGTTGTGCTCAGCATCAGCTCTTGAAAGTCTAATTAAACATGAAAATAGTAAGTGATCACTGAAAGTAATTAGATGCTCTAGATTCGTATGCAAGTTGTATAGTTTAACATACACTGAAATAGGGAACGGGTGATCAGTAGTGATCATTATAAGAGTTAACAGTTGTTGATGAAAGTCTCATGAAGATCACTAAAAAATTATGAGAAAAGTAACTGATCAGTACAAGTAATCCAGATACTCTGGATGGTTGATCAGAGGTGAGTAGTTATCAGTTGTTAATGTAGTCGGTGATCAGTGAAAGCAATCAGATGCTCCAGATCCTTAAGCAAGTCGTACAGTTTCGTTGAACTATGCTGGGTCTCATGAAGATCACCAATTATGAAAATATTTGATGATCGCTTAAAGTAATCAGATGCTACAGATTATCACGAGTAAGGGTTCAATAGATTGCGGGTGATCAGTAGGGTTCAGCAGTGATCATCATCAGCTCTTGAAAGGGTAATGAAGATCACCAATTATGAAAATAGTTAGTAATAATTACAAGTGATCAGATGCTGAACTTAACACTAATATAACACAGAACCTAATAGCAAATCCGACAGCGATCTCTACAACTACTGGGGGCGTACTCATTGCAGCCTGAGTATGATCGGGATGATCAGCATGATCAGCGGCGCTCTCTCGCTCGCACTTGCTGCCAGTTGGCGGAGTAAAACATCAATTGGGTTGTAAAGACCGAAAAGACTTGAAAGGCAGAGCCGACCGATGCCGGCAACGCCGTCCGAGCAACTTATCATGTCCAAATTAAGCTCAATACCAAATAAACAAGTCGTACGACTGCGTTCTTTTTTTCTTCACTTTTTTTTATTGTTTGTTTTATCCTTTTCTGGCCGCCGGGACTTCAGCAATGCCTGTGTTGGTTTTTCTCTCTTTTCGTGTGAGTTTTTTTTTGCTGTTGTTGGTTTGCTTTTTCGAATGCCCCGGTGCCTCGATAATGCCAACTCTATTTGCATTGGGCGCGGCGAGCACCGAGTCTTGCCGAGCTACAGTTGGAGGCGAAGCGGTTCCAGCTTTGCGTTCGCCTTTGTTTGAATTAATCGAAGTGATATTTTGCTTGTCCCGAAATAATTTATCCTATGCAGGGCCGACTGCACCGATATCTGCCTGCAGCTGCAGGCTGGACATGAATTGGTTTTTTTCTTTTTTTTTTTTGCTGGCGGAGGATCGCGTCGAAAGCCGCGCAGAAATATAAATATTCTCCATATGGGCCTCATTGATACATTTTGACATGAGTTGTGGCCTAAGCGCGCGTTAATAACCGCAATTTATGCGATTTTGAGACGGCGGCGCCAAAAACAAATCAAATAAAAACAAAAAATAATCATAATAAAAGCAAACAATGCACAA